GCTAAGAAATTTGTCACCTTTTTCGCTCTGAAAGTATGTATGTTTTAGACATGATTAAGTTACTCCCTTTCTTTCAGAAATCCTGTTCGCCTTCACTCGGGTGCTCGTCATTTGGGGAATTATTGGTGCCATTTTTGGCTTCTGCCCTCGTTTTACCTATCCCATTCTTGGTGCAACGACTATCTTTCTGTAAACTATCTTTGATGTTTATATGTTGGTGAAAAATTCCACCGACTCGGAGGAGGTTTTGGTTTTCATTTCGATTACATCTGATGAGAAGATACGCTCGCCTTCATATGATTCAAGAGGCGGTGAAGAAAGCTTGCAAGAAGGTGTCTTCTTCATACGTCTCTTTGTCGAATTACTTTGCCCCAACAAGACATACCAAATATCTTCCTATTATGTTTTAAAGGCTTGCAGGAAGTCAGCGACAGCAGAGGCAGCAATGACACGGGGAAAGTATGTTGTGGTATGTGGAAAAGACTTCATGTTTGTCATTTCTTTGGTTTCCTGCTTGGCCTGGGCCAGATAGCAGCTTGAGCACAACCACTTAGTCTCTACAATCCAATTACAAAGAGGTTTGCGGCACGAAGGACGTTATGTAAGGCAACAAAAAGAAGCTGAGTAAAAAAAAGAAAAAGCAAGAATGTACATGCGTCAAAGGGCTCCCTTTCTGGCAAGAGCAGAAAATAGGATCATGTCATGAATGTTGCTTTTTACACAGGATGGTACAATTTTACAAGTGGCGTGCACAAGCTTGTGGACGTAAGTCAGTCGTCCATCATCTAGTCAACAAGTCCGTCATAAGTTCCTCTCCGTACGCAGCCAGCAGCGAAATGGAGCTGGCTCTTCTCAAAACATTCTCTGCGACCTTTCTTTGCCCCTCAGTCATGAGCAAAGAGAGATCGACACTTTGACAGCTTTTGCCCGGCAGTGGCAGCCCCACTATTGTCGTCATCTCTCGCGGCACTCCTGCGGCATCCGCCGCCTCCATTGCCCGCTGGATCATCGCCTGGACACGGTTCTCGTCCATTTGACCAGTCCTCCTCCTGGCCTCCCACGAAACTTTGTCATCTCTGCCAGACTTCTCCTCATCTTTCCATTTCTCGTGCCAGGACAAAATCACGAGCATACCTGCGGCGCCTCCAGACCGTCGAGCAGATTTCAAATAGTCCGTAAGCCGACGTTGAGCCCAGGTTGGAGAAAGAAGCAAGCGAGGTAGATCTATGACACATATACTACATTTGTCATGTCTCCTGAACCTGGGTCTGACATAAAGGCGAATGATAAACGCCCCTCCTCGCGGCATCCAGTACACGAGAAGAGCGGACGCCGAGATCCCTCCCAGGAGACCCAGCTCTGTATCAAATGCAAGGGTGATTGCAAATGTGACGAAAGCTACGATTGCGTCGAGTTTGGACCGCCGATACTCCCTTCTCATGCCCTCAAAGTCCAAAAGATTGAGGAGGGCTACCTCGATGATAGCACCCAAAGTCGCGCGGGGAAGGTAATAGAAGAATTGCGCGAAAAAGGAAAGGACCATCATCACACAGACCGCACTGATGGCATTGGCGAGCTGAGTCTGCGTTCCAGCCGAATAGCTGACTGCACTCCGAGAGAAGGAGCCTGACACAGGGTAGGAAGAAAAAAATGAAGCGCCTAGGTTGGCGGCGCCTAGACTTAGGAGCTCTCGATTGACATTCAGATGGTAGCCTTCTTGAAGGGCGTATTTTTTGGCCACGGCATAGGCCTGTGAAAACAAAGAGGGGAAGAGAGCATCGTGGGGTGTAAGCGAAAGCGGCCGGGGGGGTGGCTACGAGGGGAAAATGGTGCCCACCTCCATAAAGGCCACCAAAACAACGCCCAGACTGTGCTCCACGATGGTCCAGAACCGATCCAACCGGGGGGCTCCGGGGGAGGGCAAGCCTGCGGGCACATTTTTGACAATAATGATCTCCACCCCTCGACTCAGGAGAAGGCGGGCGACCAGGGACGTGACGATCACCAGGACCAGGCTAAGGAGGGGGTACATGGCTTCCAGCACAGACAGGAAGCGCCGTGGCACACCCGTTCCCGCGGGGGAAGCACGCTGCATGAATCTTTTTCTGAGCTGTTTCGCGGCGAGCAGGAAAACAATGCACCCCAGACCCACACCTGCTGAAGCTGCTTGGCCATCCCCTAAGTGCCGCAACACGTACCAGCCCGACTGCCAGGTGTAGTCAAAGCGAGGGACCCCCTGGAGCCCCAGCAACTCCTTGATCTGACTCACACCTATAGCTAGTGCGGCGGCGTTGGTGAAGCCCACCATGACCGCCGGAGGAATGAGATGCGCGATCAGACCCAAGCGGAAGAGTCCGAGGGCGGACAGGATGACGCCGGAAACGAAGGCTATGGACAGGGCGGCGTGGACGCGTACCGCACTGGCCTCCTCTTCTGGCAGCGATAAAAGGTCAGGGTACAGCACGTCGTAGACGCGGGGCAGGCTCAAAGAAACCAGGGCGACGGGACCTATGGAGATGTGCCGGGAGGAGCCTAGGAAGGTGTAGACGAGGGGGCCGGACACCGCGCAGAAGAGTCCGTACACAGGAGGCAGCTCGGCCAAGACAGCGTAGGACATGCCTGAAGGAAGATAAATATGCGATCTTTCAGCCCATAATCAGGTTTTTGAAACTTATTAAGGGACATGTACAATACCTTGAGGGATCACCATTACGGCTACAGTCAAACCGCCCAGCAAATCCCCCCAAAACTGATGTCTGGTGTATTTCGGAAGCCACTTCACGACTGGCGGTGGAAACATTACCACGCGTGGAAACAGTTCGAGCCACCTGCGGTAGCGCTGCTCTTGGTTTTCGTGGGTCACCGGGCTACTCGACTTCGGATGATGAGCAGCTGTCCATGCAAACAAGGGGGCGGGCGGCAGGAAATGGAGCAGTCCTTCGTCTGTGTCGGTACTTTGATACTCTTGATCGCTGTCACTTTCCTCAACCCATTCCCAAGGGGTCCTTGGAGCGTCTGCAGCGTGAGCTGCGTGCCCGGGCAGCAAACGCGAGGTGGGATGGGGGGGTTCATCACATTCTCGCTCTTCCTCAACCCCACACAGCTGTTGATACTCCGAGTCTGACCCCCTGGACACCGGCGAGGTCGAAGAACCCATCTGTTGATGTGAATGTGTGTGCGTGAGTGTCCCTTGATGCGTGGCGCATGTGTTTAAAGGGGGATGAGCCCTCGACCCCAGAGGTTCTGATGCATTGCGCCCCCTCGCTTGCCAGCCCTTTCCACCGTCCACTCCTTGCGCCCCGCTTCCCCTCACAGACCGCTCTTCGCGCGTGTGGACGTCTCTTGGCACCTGAACGACTATCTCATCCGTCAATGCCTCCTCTTTCCGTTCAGCAGTCTTGTGAACAGTCCTAGCCGATAAGTGAAGAATTGACACCATTTGCGTGTCGCGGAGGAAGAGGAGGTCGACCGCTACATTTCATTGCTGCTTTTCCAGACCAAGAGCATGTCGACACTCCAGGTATGACATTTGAGATCATCATTGGCAGCTTTTTCCTTGCTTCAAATTTTTGTGGCGTTGACTGCATTGTATTTTCCGTTGTGCCTGTTCGAAGAATACTCTCCGGTCACGCGCTTACTCTTTTAATATCAACTTTTCTTCTTAACTTTGATATCACTGGTGCTCACCTGCAGAAAATTGCCGAGTTGGAGGCGGAGTATGCCAAGACTCAGAAGAATAAGGCGACAAATTATCATCTGGGCTTGATCAAAGCCAAGCTTGCAAAGCTGAGGCGAGAGCTGATCGAGCCCTCGGGAGGCGGTGGAGGAAAAGGGGGTGAGGGCTTTGACGTTGCTAAATCCGGGGATACACGCGTGGGCCTTGTGGGCTTTCCCTCCGTGGGAAAGTCTACGTTGCTGACAAAGCTTACAGGGACGTTCAGCGAGGCGGCTTCCTACGAATTTACCACTCTGACTGCCATCCCGGGTACCTTGCACTATCGGGGAGCCCGTATCCAGGTCGTTGACCTCCCAGGGATCATTGAGGGGGCCAAGGACGGGAAGGGTCGTGGGCGACAGGTTATTTCCGCGGCACGGACATGCAACATCATCTTGGTGGTCTTGGACGTTGCCAAGCCCGCCACGCACAAGATCCTCATCGAGCGTGAGCTGGACGGCTTCGGCATCAGGTTGAACCAGGAACCCCCTCGCATCATGTTTCGAAAAAAGGATAAGGGCGGGATCAACTTTCAGGCCTTCGTGCCGCAGACGACTCTGGATGCGGAGGCGGTGACGGCCATATGCCGGGAGTACAAGATCCACAACGCCGACGTGCACTTGCGCTGCGACGCGACGGTGGACCAGATCATCGACGTGGTAGAGGGCAACATCGTGGCAGAATTATTTGTGCAGGCATGAGAGGAAGAGTTCGTTTCAAGCGTTG